TCCGTCTTTCCTCTCCCCTCCCTCCCTTCCTCCCTTCCTTTTTCCCTATTTTTTTCGGAATCAGTGCTCTGAACTACTATGGGTGCCCCATGTCCTAGATGCCCCCACTGCACTTTTATTATCTGGAGTTTCTGGTGGATTCTGGCGAGAGCCTGGCAGACGCTTTTTCATCTGCGTGTCTGCCCTGTTATTATTTCACATAAAAGCTGTCTGTTTTGGCACCTGACTCCGTGATTTCAGTTGTGCTCTCTGGGCTGAATGGGTGATGTTGTGCAAGAGAAACTCAGGTCGGGTGTTCTCTCCTGGTGGCCGTGGGGGCGGAGGACAGAGCTGAGCAGTCCTGGCTTGTGCGGAGCCCACATGATGGCTCACCCACCCTTGGCTTTTGAAGGAAGAAACCGGTGTGGACGGTTTCTTGATTTGGGAGGTTTCACAACTGTTTTTGTTCAGCTGATGGAGGAGAGGTTTGTTAAAGAGCAAACTCTTCATTAATAAGACTGTAAACAAGCTGTGGATAATGAGGGATGCCGCAGGTGGGAGCACAGGGATGCTCTGCTGGAGAGCAAACTCTTCATTAATAAGACTGTAAACAAGCTGTGGATAATGAGGGATGCCGCAGGTGGGAGCACAGGGATGCTCGCTCCTCCTCGCTCCGGCCTCCCTCCCTCGCATTTCTTGTGTGCAGTTCTAATCGTGGTGTTTTGAGTTTCAAAACAAAGTATGGAAAATGAGATTAGATAAATCTCCCCGGCTGGTGCCAGCCCTGGGGCCGTTTGCACACCTGGGTGGGTTAACTCCCTCCTCTCTCTCTCTCTCTCTGCATGATTTTTTATGCCATGTGAATAAGTAAACATCTAAGATAGGAGATGATACCACTTACAGTCTGCCTTACAGAGACTCCACTTTTATCTGCGTGTCTCGGCAAAGTCGCCCATCATGGCACCTGCTAGTTTGTTAACGCGGTAACAGCCCGTCTCCAAGGGAAACTTGGGGTTCCCTGCTTCCCGGCTTCCCTACCGCGGGGTTGGGCTGCAGGGCCTTCTTTGATCATCTCTTACAGCACGGGCTGCTCGTTCTCACACCTGCCCTTTCTCATCTAGGTTCCCAAGTAAGTGCTCCCGTCGCCTCGTAGTGTCTTCAGTGTGAACCTGGGTGCAGGGTACTTACTATGGGCGATGGGTTCCATGGCGGAGACAACCGCTTGGCACCCACGGCTCCTGAACCGCCGCCAGGAGTGTAAACGGCCACTTTGTGTGTGTCTCAGAGCCTCGGAGCTCGGCCCTTCGGTCATGACCGAGCATGCACATGATAACAGCAGGCCCGGGCGGAGGGCCCGCCCGGCAGCCGCCAGGACAGGCTCTAACAAGACTCTGTCTTCTCCCCCATCATCCACAGCCCACACATCGTCTTCCTCTCTCAGAGCACCCTGGCCGGAGGGAGCCACCTCTGTGGGACCCGGCTCTGCCATGAAATTGCTCACGCCTGGTTTGGCCTGGCCATCGGGGCCCGCGACTGGACGGAGGAGTGGCTGAGTGAAGGGTTTGCCACTCACTTGGAAGATGTATTCTGGGCCAAAGCACAGCAGGTAGGTTTAAAGTGACCCCACACATTTCACTCCCTGGAGTCAAGTTCTATTCATAGTCACTCCTTCAGTCAACAGACACGTCCTGAGTGCTCACTGCGCAGTTGGCGGCTGGGAGGGGGCTGCATGATGGAGGGGCAGTCCCTGCACCTGCGGGGACAGAGCCAGAGGAGAGAGAGACGGCATCCTCCTGCACCACGTCAGGGAGAGAGCACTGCGAAGGAAAGGCAGCTAGGAGAGCAGGGACAGGTGAGCCAAGACCTGCAGGAAAGGCCGTGCGCTGGCTACTCAAGCTCCTCTGTGCTGTGGTTGTGGCGACAGTGACTGTGTTTTGTTCAGAGTGAGATTGAAAGTTAAATCAGACGTCAGAATCTCAGATGCCTGCTGGCCAGGAGGGAGTGAAGCAGTTGGCGTTAAAGATGAGGGAGTGGTGGGAACTGGTCCTCAGCCCTAACCACTGTCATGCTGCCGGGAGGGCTCCAGAGAGCCTAGGCGCCTGGTCTTTTTAGAGAAAGTTACAAATTTGGGTTTTCCTGTGAAATTTATTAACTTAAAAAATATGTAGACTGACACACCCAGAGGCCAGACCTGGGCAGCGCATTCCCAGGACCACCTCTGCTTTGAAGAATTGGCCGCCAGTTCCAAGGAGGACATGGCGGCGAACCCACTTCCTGCTTCCTTTCTAGTGTCTAATATTTGGTCCCTTTCCTTCCCCTTCCATTTCCACCCCTTCCATTTCCTAAGTTCCCACGATTGTGCACACCTGTATGCTTTCGTTCAGACTCCTTCTCATGTTGGAATCCCATTTGTTTCTAACGACGGGCTCAGGGTCACGTTCTCTGGGTGGCCCGGCCTGATGGCTCTATCTTCTAGGAACTGCGAACGCTCGAGTGTTTGTATGGGTGTCCCAAAATTCACGCAAGATTTGAATTTTGCGTGAGCATTAACAACAACAACAACAACAAAAATAAAAGCTAATTTTGCTTGGTTTATTGCATCAGATTCTAATATCTGTTGCCCTTTGATTTCAATCCCTTCAATTTGATAAGCATTACCAAGTACCAATGATGGCCCAGGAGCAGGGACAATGAAGACCAATGAAGACCACGGCTTTGCGTATGTGCCAGCAAAGCCGTGGAGGCCATTTACCCGATGTGCTATTCCATACATAACCCTATACTGTATACTTTATGAATCAATAAAAAAAATTACAATTTTTAATTATAAACCTATGTTTTCTATCAAAATTACTTCTTGCCTGAATTTTGGGACACCCTATATTAACTCAGCTCTCTTTCCCCACTTTCTTCTTCTTCCTCCCTTCCTCACAGCAGACTGCGACCTCATTCAGAGCAGGGCTGTGTCTTGCTCGACCTTCCACCCCTGTGGCGCTGGCAGTGTGCACATCTGCGTCTCCTGCCAGAGTCCCAGGAAGAGGGGCTAACAGGGCAGATGAGGGGAAAGTGGCGGCATTCTGAGTCTGACCAGGCTTGGAATCCCAGCTCTGCTGCTCGCCAGCCTCCCTGAGCCTTAGTTTCCCCATCTGTAGAATGGGTATGAGGGTGCTTACCCTGCAGGTTGACTAGCATAATGTGTAAATGAGCCCAGCACAGTGCCTGACACATAGTAGGCATTCAGCCAAGGCTAAATAGGTTTCATATAAGTGTGCCTCTACCACCATTCCTTCCCTGGGTGCTTCCATGCTAAGGCAGTCAGAGTTGTGCTACTCTTGGTAATTGCGGGTATATTTCAGGCATCAGGTGAGGATTTCTCTGTCCTTCTGTCTCCTGCATCCCCAGCGAGCACTCCCCACCGCCCTTCCCCTGCGGGAACTCCTTACTGCCCTGAATGCCTCTCCGCCAACACAGCACAAGCCTGGCCTGGCTGCAACTCTCAGCTGCACCCCTTCCCTGTGCGCCGGTCTGATCTGCAGGGAGAATGGAGAATAGGACACAGCCCTGCTCTGGAAGAGGGCAGAGCCTAGTTGAGGTGAAAATAAAAGCACACAGGGGAAGGAAGAAGAACATATTTACAAAAGAGAGGTAATCACCACACACTGTGCAGCCCAAAGGTGGGCAGGCCAGGTGAGCAGATCCCGCAGTCCTATCTCAGGGGGTGGCTGCTGTCATCAGCTCAACAGGAAAGGAGGAGCTGAGGCTGCTCTGTCCCTCTGCTGCCCCTGGCCTGGCATGAGGGCAGCCCAGCTCAGCCCCTTCAGGTGATGCAATAACTCCATCTGGGAAAGCACGACCCCCAAGGCAGAGTGGCCATTCTAGCACCGAGTTTGGAAATATTTCCCGAGCACGTCCATCACTCTGACCCCTTCCATTGAAGGGTGAGTGTGACAGCTGGTGCTGGTCCCTGACAAGTGCCCACAGCAGGCCTTCCCGGCGGGAGATGGTGCTCAGGGCAGGGCAGGGTGGGCCACCTCCCGGGCTCCCAGGCAGCAGTAGGGTCCCCCAGTGAGGAGCGAGTGAGGTCGCACAGGCAAGCGTGGCGGGGGGGCGAGGGGGGGTGGAATCTCTGGGCAAGGAGACAGAAGTCCGCCTTCTGCTCCGAATGGCATTCTGCGGGGACAAGTGGGTTGAGTCGGATGCCAGATTGGACCGCACACCTGTCATCAGCCTGGATAAAGTCTAACTCTCACGGGGGTCTTAAGCAACCTGCAGCCAGGACAGCACAGGACTGGAGGCTGGAACAGACTCGTTTTCTTAGTTTTAGAGGCTGGAAGTCCAAGATCAGGGTGCTGACAGGCCTGACCTCTCTGCCTGGCTGGTGATGGCCACCTGCTCACGGTGCTGTCGGTGCTACTGTGGAGAGAGCCGCGCTGGTGTCTCTTCCCTTCTCAGAAGGACCCAGTCCTATGGAACTAGGGCCCCGCCTCCACGGCCCTCTCATCCTTAACTACCTCTTTAACAGCCCCATTTCCAGTACAGTCACATGTGGGGTTAGAGTTCCACTTATGAATTTTGGGGGGAGGGAACATAACTCAGTCCATAACAACAGAACATACAAAGTCTGTAGGTCAAGCATGTCAAACTCAAAGGCTAACGCGGGCCAAATAACCAAGGTTTAAGTTAATGTGGGCCGCAAAAAACCAAAAGCTTCCATTTTCATAGAAACGTAGGTTTATTTTGATAGAGACCTGCTGAATACAGCCGATTGCAGGTGCTGAAATAAATGAGTCATCGTTAACATAAAATAGAACATTTTAATAAAAATTAATATTTTTTCTTGAACATTAACTTACCAGACACTGAATAACTGCACAACTTAATAAGCATAACACAAACAAACCTATTTTTCTTGTTCTCAGAAAGCGAATTATTTCGTGTTGCGCACATCAAACAAGTCAGTCCAAGACGAATGACGTGGCCATCGGCTGCTAGAATATTCGCTGCTAGTATTAGTGGCACGTAAGGGAAACGAATGCAACACGATGATATAATCAGTCATTAGCGAACGCTGTAGTTCGTTATTAATAATTATGTATAACAGGATATTGTAACAATTAAGTTAGGAATTTTTTATTAAAATGTTTCTTACATACCATTATATTGGCTGGGCCGCAAAAATATTTGTTGTGGGCCTCATGCAGCCCCTGGGCTGCGAGTTTGACATGCTTGCTGTAGATCATCAGGCCTCTGCTGACTGCTTGGCACCTGCCCTCTCCGATGCAGCCTGCTCCTCGCCTGACCACGTCCCTGCCGTTCCCTAAACACATCAGGCTCTTTCCGGGCCCCAGAGCCTTCTCTCTTCCTGACACTCCTCCGTGGGGCCTGACTCCTGCTTTCCCTGGAGACCAGCTCAGGCCCTACCACACTCCGAGGAAAGCCTCCTACCCCCCTGGTTGGCCAGGAGGCATTTGGCTTCTTCCTCCAGGGGGTGTTCTTATTCCACCCCCCCTTTACCCCCTGCACCTGCCAGACTCCATGGGGTAGGGGTTGTGTCCCTGATATCCCCGGGGCCTAGCAGAGACTCTGCAAATGTCTGTTGAATGAACCTTTAGAGACCTTTTATTTCCGGAGATGCGTCTAGGTACTGACCTAGCCCCTCCCCGGTGGAGGTTTTGCTGCCTCCCTTAAGGAGGCACAGGAGTGAGAGGCTACGGGACCAGCAGGGCAGGTGCAGGCCTCCCCCCACACAGTGCGCAGGCCTGCACTGTTCCTGGTTATAAGCAAACAGAACCATCTGGGTTGCATTAGCAGGCTCCACAGTAAACAGCCCTTAACAAAACTGGGGGCTGGGGACCTTCCCCACCCCGTGCAGAGACACAAAGCAGGAAGGGCTGGATGGCATCCCAGTGGAAGTGGCCCCGAGGGAAGCCTGCTCTCTCCAGGGCGGGGTGGATTCCTGGACCAGGGGTGCCTCCCGAGCAGGCAGCAAGATTGGGAACAGCTGGGCTCCTGACCTGTTCGATGGGGCGCAGGGGCAGCAGGAGGCCTCCTTTGCCACCCTCCCAGAAATAAAGCCGCTGCTGCCCAGGCGGCTCTGAGCTTGCACAAGGGCAACAGTGACGGTGTTTTGTGCACGTGTGTTTGTGGCTTAAGCAGCTGACCCCCCACGAGGCCCAGGAGCAGCAGGAGCTGCGGGCAAGCCTGCGCTGGCGGCGCCTCCAGGACGAGTCGCGGTTTTTTCCTCCCCGGCCGCCTTCCCTTCCACACACGTGTAGGCCTTGCATCAAATCTGCTGTGTTTCCTTTTTAATTAAATCGGACCAGGTTAGTCACCCTCCCAGGCATGTGATCCCCCGGGATGTGATGGTTATGCTTCAAGTATTTCAGGGTGTGGATTTGGACTTGCCTTCTGACATTTTCCTGGTGTCTCTATTCAGGAAAAAACTAGCATAAGGCCATTTCCGGGACCAAATTCTTCCTTTGAAGTTCTAATAGTCACTTCACCTAGTGGCTGGGGACTGGGGGAAGGTTGGGTTTGGTAGCCTGGCAGGCAGTAACCCTTTAAAGCCAAAGGGAAAAAACCCTGTAGGAAATTATTGATTCCTACGTGTTTAGTGGTAGCAGATGTCTGTGTCAATGGGGGCTTTTGTTTGGGATCCGTCCTGCGGGCGGCCACGCCTGGGAGGGGAGCGCTCTCCCAGCTCCTGGTTCCGTCTCTAGACTGTTGCGGGCTTGTAGGATTACTTCTTGCCTTTTTGCCATGTTTGTCCCTCTCTGCTTTGCTGGTTTTCTTCACTTCTCTGAATAGTTATTTATCTGAAACCTCCAGCCTAGGCCCCAGGAGCACTGCGTTGCTAAGGCAACATAAGCTCTCACCCTGCCCACTCTGGGCCGGCGCCAAGCGTTTGGAATCCTCCGTCAGACAGGTGGGAAGGCAGCCATCCAGGTGTCCCCACTTAGATGGCAGCCCCCAAGCCCGCGTGTTCCCGCTGATTTTAGGTAAACACCCGACTCCGCAGTGATGACCCATGGAGCCCAAGTGGGAGGAAGCTGTGGAGCCAGCCTGAAGCGGGAGGCTGCCGCTTCCCTTTGCTGTGAACGCCTGCTCACAGCTCAGGGCTGCCTTCAGCTCTGACTCCTGCATGGTCAGGAGAGCCAGCCCACCGTCGACCCTCCCTCTATTCACTGGGCTGGTGGGTGGCTCCACCCACATGGACAGGGCCCAGCCCTCAGGAAGCTCCCGCTTAGGGGGACCCTGCCACGTGCACAGCGGGTTGCAGGTACTGAGAAGTGGGGCGAAGGGAGCCCAGTGATTTCTAGGGAGGGGTCGGTCATGCCTCTGGGGGAGGCTCAAAGGCCTGAGGCAGGAAAGGGCGTGGCATGCTGGTGCAGAGGGCAGAGGGACAGAGGGGCAGAGGGAGGTCAGGGAGGGCAGGCAGGAGCGGCCCAGAGCCTTGCCCCAAGGACCTTGAGCAGGGAAGGCGCCCTGTCCCCGGGCGGGGAGGGGGAGGGGGCTGGTGTGCAGGCAGCTCATGGAGGGAAGGCGCAGGTGGAAGGGGGGCGCAGGGAGCAGGCCTGTTTGCACATGTCCTGGCAGGTCTGGGTGAATGGACTGTGCGAAAGAGGACGAGAGTGGCTGGCATGATGTCCAGGCTTTTGCCTGAGTGGCTGGTGGATAATGAGGGATAGCAGGCATGGCCTCTGAGAGGGGCGGGCTTTGGAGGGAAAGATGAAGTTTCCAGCTTCACATGCATTCAGGTGGATGCCCAAGTAGCTGTTCAATATTGAGAACTCGGTGGGTCCACAAGTCAGGAGCTTATTGGAGAGATTCCAATCTTTGGCCTATAAAGACTTTAAAATCTGAGCACCTTGAAATCACCAGGGAGAGAGGAAAGTGAGAGAAGAGGTTGGGAGGAAGATTGGGGTCGGGGGCAGGTGGTGGGGGCGGGATAGTGTAGAGAAAACTCAGACACCAGAAGCCAGGTTAGAAGGCGGGAGTGGGTGTGGGATGCTGCTGAGGGCGTGTGAAAGGGAGGGAGAGACGTGACCTTTGGGCGGGACCACACAGCGATGCTGTGGTCTTGACATGCATGCATTTATTCATGGGTGGGGGAGAGCGGGGCCAGATTGGAGTTGGTAGGAGAGTGAGTGGGTGGTCCGGAAGGGGAGACAGCGCGTGGACTTGGTAAGGAAGCTGTGCTCGGAGGGGAAGCTGTGAAGGTCAGAGAGGCTTGCTGCGGGTGGCTGTGTCCCTGGGTAACTGTGCCGACCCTGCCACCTCTCCACTCAGCTTCTTCATTCTCCAAGTCCTCAGCCTGTGCCCTGAGAGGTCAGCACCGGTGAGGGGACCTCATCTCCGTGGCGCTGTGGCCAGCCCAGCTCTGGTGGCCACGGGCTTTGCCTTCTTGTATGGAACCGGGAGAAAGAATACGCTATGTGTATCTGTTTACTGGAAGGCTTACGGTGGCATTTATTTTTCTCTGCCTTCATATCCAGGAATTATGTTTGCCTGAATTTAGGCTAAGAGTCCACCGTTCCATGGACACAGAGAACCTAGAGCAGTGATGACGAACCTTTTGAGCTCGGCGTGTCAGCATTTTGAAAAACCCTAACGTAACTCTGGTGCCGTGTCACATATAGACATTTTTTGATATTTGCAACCATAGTAAAACAAAGATTTATATATTTGATATTTGTTTTATATATTTTAATGCCATTTAACAAAGAAAAATCAACCAAAAAAATGAGTTCGCGTATCACCTCTGACACACGTGTCATAGGTTCGCCATCACTGACGTAGAGGTTACTGAAGGGACAGGGGGAACCAGAATTGTAAACATCTGTTCTCAGACTTTGTTTCATTTCACTGTACAAATAAGAGCTTGGTAAAGAAATCTCTTAAGCAACACAGTGACCAAAGATGCTGTCTTGTTTTTTCATTTACGATACCGCATGGTCTTGAAATGATGGACCGAGCACCAGGTGGAAGCCTTGGTCTCTGTCTTGATGTGCTCCTCCCCGCTGCCAGGGGCTGAGGGAGCTTCTCCCGCCTCTGCAGCACCTTCCACCCGCCCAGCCCACCTCCTCCCAACAGCACTTCCTCCCCTCGGCGCCTGTGTCTCAGGCTCCTCAGCTTCCTTCCGCCTCACTGCCCTCCTCTCCGGCTCTCGCTGGGTGGCTCCGGCTCAGAAAGACTGAATGAGGAGCAAAGCCAGCGCAGCTGTCCTCCTTCCCGGGACCATCTCCCTGCCATCAAGGAACTCGATGTCACTTTCCTGTGTGGAAATAAAAATAGTCCCTGCATCTTGAACCGAGGGAGGACATGAAGGTCGGCATAAAAAAAAAGTAGCCTTGGACCAAGCATCTTTGTCTTTGTACACATGAGAGCATTTTTTTTTTGGGGGTGAGGGGACGGGGGAGAAAGCAGCATTGTGTTGGTTCGATACTGGAGTGTTAGCAACGTGAGAAGAGAAAAACTAAAATTCTGTTTGGCGCTGACCTGCTCACTTCAGTCACTGATAGGAACTGGTATCCGTTCGTGCCTTCCACGTACCCGGGGGTGAGCTGTGGGCTCAGCAGCTGTGTCCTAGGTTGGCCTGGCGGAGTTTCCAGGGCTCCCAGCCTTCTCAGCCTGCCCTGGCTGGGGCCCTGCACTGTGACTGCAGGCTGTGGAGGCGTGGCCATTTGCTCAGACTTTCAAAATGCCAGGGGTCACATTGCTGACTCTCTGCCTTTTCTCCTTCTTAATTATTAAAGATGCCTTTCCCGTAGGCAAGACCCCAGCGGCTCTCTGCAGACTCTCCCTCATGCTCCCTCAGCCCTGGCGAGGCTGACCTCATCCTGTCCTGCTCTCCCCTGCCTGGCCGCCACCTCCTCACTCCCTCCGTCATCACCCCACCCTCAGCCGGGGAGGCATCCTGACTCCGGGGAAGTGGGGGCTTCTAAAGGCTCCACTGCCTGGCTGCCTGTCCCCAGGGCCGGGCTGGACGCCGGCCTCTCTAAGTGCTGTCGGTCAGAGCTCTGACGGGCTGGTGGATGGAAGAGCTGTAGTGGCGGGGTCAAAAGAAATCTCTGTTGGTTTTTATTGTGATTTATTATCATGCCCCCTTTTTTCTCGATTGTTAAAGTCACGCTTGTGCTGAGAAAAATGTTAAAATATATCACGTTGAGGAGGCGATCGATGACCAGCCCCCAGTCTGATGCAGCTCCTCCAGCTGCTGCCACCACCGACCCTGAAGTCCTAGGGAAAGGAGGCGCCTGCCCTCCCGCCCAAGTGCCTCAGCCCTGCCCACCAAGGTGCCCGTATAGCAGGAGCCCGAGTGTGTCGCTCTATTATGGCCAAAATGAAGCGTGCGCCCCGAGTTCTATGGCCCGCACACGCCCCAAGCACTCGTTCCGTGCCGCTGGGCACTGGGACCTGTGGGCGGCCCTGCCAGGGGCCAGTGAGTTGGAACATTCCTATCCCTCTCCCTTCCGCTATCTCTAAATAAGTAAAAACATGTCCTCAGGGGAGGATTTTTTTTAAAGTCCATGTGTGAACCTTCTCTAATATGCATGACGTTTTCACCTCTAAAGTTTTTCTCAAAATTTGATGAGTAATGCTTCAAGAACATGGAAGTCTTTTCCCACCCAGGCGTGGAACCACGTCCATCGCAGCTCTCAGGCCTGCCTCAGGGAGGAGCTCCGCCCTTCACGGCCCCCTGTTGCTGTCACATGCCCACCCCCAGCTCAGGCTCAGGCTCCTCCAGCCTGAGGCCTCAGGGCTCCCCGCAGCCTTCCCTCAGTTGCCACTGGCCCAACTCTCCCTCCCCCTTTGCCTCCTGCCCCACAGGGGAAACCCAGCCATTGGCCTGCTGGCCCTTTGAGTCTATAAATGCCTTAGCATCCACACCTCCCCTGACCTCCCAGAAGCCCGAGTGCCAGCCTGCTATTAGCTACAGATACAGCTCTAACTCTAGAGGCGAAACTGGAATTTAAATGTGTATCTGTATTTAAAACCCACTGTCCCTGAGGAAGAAGAGAAGGGAAGGGATGGAGGATCTGTGTACATGAGTGAGGATGCATCACTGTGGACAGACACTGGGGCCACGAGCCTAGGGAACCTTTTCCTGAGGTCACTGTGCCCTGTGAGCACCCGATTCTGTAACGCATTGTAATTCCTGTTTTATTGGACCCCTCTGCATTGTTTGGTACCATTGATGGCTCTTGCTTTCCGGGGATTTCTGCCA